ATAAAATGTTAGTGTCTACATACTATACATTACATAATCTACTCTATCTTAAGCCTTTGATGATGCTGACACAAGATGGAGCACTGTGCCCAACAAATGGTCTGAATATTTATGTTCACATTACACAAGACAAGAGGCACTTACTGCTTAGTTGTCGTATACTGTCTGGGAGATCACCACAGTCACTGGGGAGCAGTTTTTTCATCATTCATGCATCAAAGTTCTCTGCCCCAGATGGCAAACTCCATGTGGCCTCTTGGAATACTTATTCAAACTAACCATGTCCAGAGCCCCTACTACACATCATACCAATAGCTGCCTTTGGTGCTTCTAGTATAATAATCATTATTACATCATTGGTACATGACCATGACAAGCCTGAAGAGGACTATTTATGCCAGAGAAACACAAATGTGAGAGAGGGTTTTAAATATTTTGTAGAATTTTGAAGGACCGCCCCTCCTTACAGCCATTTAAGCTACTCTTCTGATATGAACCCCTATCTCCAGGTAACAGACCTGAAAGTCTGCCTGAAGCAATTCCTCTCCTATGCCATATTTAGGATAAAAATGATAATCTTAAAAACCAAACTGCAAAACAGACCATGCCACTTTTTATGTGAAGGTTCGTGTGAAAAGCATAAAGCAGGTATTACTCATACTATTTTCTTTGCATGATTTCCAAATATCTGTTTTATATCAATTCATCTGTAATGAAGAGCAATAGTTAAACCTCTGCACTATGCCTGACAATCCAGGCATGAGGACTTCAATTCCACTACTGCTAAAAATACAGCACAACTGATACGAACATCCACATCTAGAGGAAGTAGACAAACTGCCTGTCTAACAGTACGGAAATGGGGGCACCTGGCTGGCCCAGTCAGTAGAGTATGCAACTCTTGATCTTGTGGTAATGAGTTCCAGCCCCACGTTGCATATAGAGACTAGTTAAAAAAATAAAATCTTAAAAAAAAAAAAAACCACCCAAAAAAGGGGGGGTATATATGGAAACGGATATGCCATGTCAATGGATCAGAAGACTTACTATTGTGAAAGTGGCAATTCTCCCAAAACTGATACACACATAAAGCAGTCCCTATCAAAAATCTGGCTGACTTCTAGGCAGAAAGTAGACAAGCTGATCCTAGAATTCATATGGAAATTAGAGGGACCCATGATACTCAAAACAATCTTGAAAAAGAACAAAGTTGGAGAACTCACACTTCCCAATTTCAAAACTGACTACAAAGGAATGGTAATCAAGACATATGAAACTGGAATACGGAGATATATACAGATTAACAGAACAGAATTTAGAGTCAAAAATAAGCCCATGTGTCTATGGTCAACTGGTTTTTCAACAAGGGTTCCAAGACTATTCACTGGGGAAAAAACAGTCTTTTCAACATGCAGAAGAATCAATTTAGATTCCTATATCACACAAAAAATAAACAAACTAAACATCACCAAAATAAAAACATTTGTGTTTCAACAGATATCATCAAGAAAGTGAAAAGACAACCACAGAACACAAAAAAATCATTTTGCAAAACATACAATAAGGGACTTGTATGTTGAATATATATAAAGGGCTGTCACAACTCAACAATAAATAGACAAATAACCCGATGAAAAATGTGTTGTTCAAGAGACTCTTAATTATACAGATTACTAGAGGAGAGGGAGATGGGAGGATGGGTCAAATAGGTGACAGGGATTAAGGAGTGCACTTGTGGAGATGAGCACAGGGTGAATTACTGTGCTGAATTACTATATTACATACCTGAAACTAATATAACATTGTTTGTTAACTAACTGCAATTAAAATAAAAACTTTTAAAAAAGGAAAAATGGGTTGTTCAACATCATTAGCCAACAGGAGAATGCAAGTCAAAACCATGAGATACATTCAATTATGGCTATATTTAAAGACAGATAAGTCATTGGGGAGGGTATGTGCTATGATGAGCGCTGTGAATTGTGTAAGACTGTTGAATCACAGACCTGTACCTCCGAAACAAATAATACATTATATGTTAAAAAAAAAAAAAAAA